TAAGAAGAGAGTTTCTGAATGGGTGAGATCAGACGAATGAGGGGAAGAAGGGCATTGAAGCAGGAGAAACCGTATGGACAAAGCCAGGGAATAACTACATTTTTTAAGTGGCAATGAGCAGAGGAGATCCCATAGCAGAGGTCTCTTGGAGGGGAATAAAATTCAAGAGGACTGTTAGGGACTCTCTGGAGATTGCCTTGAACAGTGGGCCACCCTCCTACAACATAATGGTCAATGAGGCGTTAACTCAAGAGCCAGCTGTCGGATTTCTTTTAAGTGAGTCATCTTTGCCCAGGAAAACACCTAGAAAGGACATTTTGGCTATGGAAGGGTAGGCCTCAGGGTTTGGCCAGGATAAACAGGGACAGACAATGAGAAAGCTGAATCACTCTGCATGACAAGGGAGAAGAAACGACGACATTCTAGTGCAGTCCTACTAAGGCGACATAAGGGGAAATTTTGAGGACAGCAGGATGGTAGGGGGTGAAAAGACAGAAAGGGAAATTTTGGCCAAGGAGAATTCTCTATAGCAGCCAAAGACTATGAAAGAAGTCAAATATTCCACCTTACGTCATCTGCTGTGCTTTGTCGTCTGAGGCTCTGCCACCGCCCTCAAATCTGCAGTCACAGTCCATACCTTAGTGATCTACCTGGGGGGCGTTTGAGAGGCGAGGAGAAGCACACAAGTGCCCTGCTCAATGCTCTGCTAGACAGAAAAGAGAAAGCAAGCCTGGGGCAAGATGGCAGTAGGAAGGAAAGGTCCCCCAACAGGAAATCGAAGTTTTCCTTGATTTCCTTGATTTCCTTTGTGTGAACACGAAGCCCTGGGAATCCACACAGATCTTGAGGAAAACAAGGATGTGTAATTTGTAGATGAAGCCATTCTATTTAAATCTCAAATAACAGGAATCCCAGCTAACACCTGGCTCCATGTGTGTAAGACAACCTTGATAGATCCAACTTCAGATACTTTGGGAATAAATGATTGCACATAGAGATCTTCCAGAGTCCATTCTTTACTCTTTCTTTTGTCTTGATAACTATTTTTGGACCCTTTAGCATCTTCACCAATGTTCATTCAGTCAGTCCTAAGGAGAGACGGGCCAACTCAGGTTGATTTACTGTTCTCTTTGTTACCATCTCTGGCAAGAGACGTGATTAGATGTCTCAACTGCGTGATCCTGTACATGTGTACACAGCTGCAAATGTTTTAAGTGTGAAATGCTGCTTTGCTCCTTTCCTATTACCTCCATGTATTTGGATGAGTGTATAGATGCTCCCATATAAATACCGCAATGAACTCAAATGTGTATCTGATTATTTCGTTTCCTGGAATGGGTGAATTTCTTCTACAATCTACAAAAGGCCAATGAAACTTTTGCAACTGCTTGTAATATTTCTCAGCTGTGGTTCCAATGCCTTCCCCAAAACTAAGTACTAATTGCAGTGGCAAATGAACACAGTGTATTGTTACTTCCAGAATAATGACTTCAGAATGATATCATTTGGCCAGTCACCTGCACTGATTGGGAGTGAGGACTATTCCTTGACTATATTAAGCGACTCTTTAGAAAGTTTCCTCCTGGTAGGAAATTCAATTCAGAGAACAGAGCGTCTGTAATGGAGGAGGTCTAATGAGTCATTGGGAACATTAGAGAATGGGCAAGATGTTGTATTTATGTTTTAAATGTTTATGTAACGCTCATTGCTGGAGGGAAACTAGCTATTACAGTTTTTGCAATTCTCATGCTGTTTCTCTTCTCCCACCTCCTGGAAAGCTCCAAAAAAAGGATGATTTGACATTATCCCTGGAATACATTCATGATCCTGCTGCTTCCTTTAGAGTGTTGGGGAAATCAGCAAACCTAACCTGCAACCAAGTTTATTTTGATTTGAAAAGGACATGATAATGCAAAAGCTACCAGCCTGGTTCCCCGGTTAACCATACCGGTTAGCTTCCCTAAAGTTGTGGACAATTTGACCAGCATGCTGTATCCTGCCCCATTTACTTACTGATGATGCTTATCCTGGCTAACATTTATCATGACACCTCGAGTCATTTCCAGTTGAATGCACCTGAACTAATCAGCTCCTCTTTGAGTTTTATAATTCCTATTTTTATTTCAAAAATCCAAAGCAACAGGGGCACCTGGGTGGCTCAGCAGGTTAAGCGTCCGACTCTTGGTTTTAGCTCAGGTCGTGATCTCGGGGTCGTGGGATCGAGCCCCGCGTCGGGGGCTCTGAGCTCAGTGTAGAGTCTGCTTGTCCCTCTCCCTCTGCTCCTCCCCCCCACCTCAAATAAATAAATAAGTAAAATATTTTTTAAAAAATCCAAAGCAACAAATATCTATGCTTTGGCACCAGCATTTTTTAAAAAATTGTTCCTATTTCAGTGCCTTTACCATTGGATATATGCACACACTATGAATTTGTTCACATTCATTTTATAATATATTTTTTAATTCAGCAATTAGCATGCCCAGATGAGCACGTACCTGTGCTTGGAATCATTCAAGGTGCTGGGTTTTAAAATTAAAAAACAGATCTATACGTAACTTCATGGAATGTACAGTCTAATAGTGCTTATTTACACAAGTCAAAATAGATAGCTTAGTGACAAAGCTATCAGAATTTTCAAGGCATGTCTCTACTTAATAAAGTCATTTTCTCATTACTCCTGGGTAATTTACCTCTTTGCCTCTGCTTTTTTATATTTCCCTGCCTTTATTCACTTTCATTTATCAGGGAAGCGTAAAGTAGTGGAAATTAAATATTTCCATTTTATATAATAATTGGATTTTAGGATAAAGGTTGGAACCGCAGCCTAAAATCTAATTTGAATATAAATAAAGTTTTAATATTATTGATTAATTTTTTTCCATTCTATCTTTAAATCTTTTTGCTAATCATAAAAATTGTCTGTCCAAGGACAGATAAAAAATACCAAGCATTTCATGCAGAACATTTATCAGAATGAAAGGTCAATGGCGAGATGATGTTGAAGACTCATACGTAAATGTTACAGGTGTGTGTAGTGCGTGGCGCCATCATCCGTTTCCTTGTCTTTCTCCAAACAAATCAGGCAGCTCAGAATGTGTGGCAAGGGCTAGAATATGACAAAACAACATTGGTTCTGACTCTGATCGTCTGTCGAGGTAAACTGGAGTCAGAGGAGTGGAAAGTGTCATGGGCAAGACGGTGCTGTTGGGATGTCAGGCCGCACAGCGATGGCAAGCAATAATCCCTCAGAAAAAAACTCTTACACTCTCAATGTCAGGAGTCTTGGAAAGGAAGGAACATGGAGACAACCAAGAAATCAGAGTAGTCTTTGTAGCACTGTCTCTTTTCTGCACCTTGCTGTATTAACTGAGCCCTTCCTCATGTCTACTGGCAACCAAAAGCAACCAAGGAGTGCGTGGAAGCAAGTGGAAGGGCAGGGAGAGGGGTGCATGGAGACAAGCTCAGATGGAAGAGAGGCCCATCAGGGACACTGGAGGTAGAGGTGGTGGGACAGAACAAGAAAAGGGTACAATCTTACAAGAATGAGATATTTGGAGACTCTGACTCCTGGCAGAACTCTGGGCATATTTCCAGGCCTTAATTAGGATTCTGTAACAATCTTTAAGAGAAAATGATTTTCCTAAATATCACTAGTTTTTCCTTTAGTCACTTATGCCTGGATCTTGTTAAAGTTTCCAGCCATTCTGCTCACTTTATCTTCTAAGTACAAATGAGAAACTGAAAGGGTCCATATCACAGCAACTGAGTACTTGAAATAAGACATTTGAACACAGGGCGCCTGGGTGGCTCAGTCATTAAGCGTCTGTCTTCGGCTCAGGTCTTGATCCCAGGGTCCTGGGATTGAGCCCCACATCGGGCTCCCTGCTCGGCGGGGAGTCTGTTTCTCCCTCCGACTCTGCCTCTGCCTGCCACCCCACCTGCTTGTGCTCTCTCATTCTTTCTCTGATAAATAAATAAAATCTTTAAATATATATATATATATATGCCTGAAGGGGTGTCAGAGCACATCTCATCTCAGCTAAAGACGACAGGAACAATTCAGTTCATCTGTGGTCAAGCCCAACACTGGACGTCCAATTACTTTCTGCTAATAATAATAATATCCATAATACCTAGTGTGTGCTGGGTACGAGCCCAACCACTTTATAGATGTTACTTCACTCAATCCTACAACCACTCCCATGATGTAGGTACATATTACTATCTGTACCTTCCCAGGTGAGGAATCTGAGGCCTGGAGTGGATGAGTTATTTGCTCAATCTCAAAATTGATGAAAGGGCAGAGCTTCCTCCCCGGGGCCCACACGGTCTCCCACCCCTAAGGAGCATGCTTATTTCCCTACCATCAGCCTCCTGCTTCCTTCACCCATGGAAACATCTGCAGAGAAGACCGGCTAGTTGGTGCTTCATGACGCTTCATTATGCTTCATTCTGCAGTAAATTACTGAATTCTGCTTAGCAGAATTGTACATAGAAAATATCATCAGAACATAAGGTCTTGAATTTAGTAATGCTGGGTTGTCTCTGTAATTGGGAGAGAAGAGTAACAGCTTGTTTGTCCTCATTCTTTCCAAGATCCTAACTGTTCCTTGAAATGGTTTAAGCAATTTGATGCCTAAGAAGGACTTCATTATCTCCAGTTTCAACTCCTTTAGTTCTGCGTGAAAAATAAAGAATTTATAATCATGAAATAACAGGAGGGATGAGAAAGTTGATGTAACCGTAAGCTGAAATTTTACTGAGTCTAATAAATTATCGAACTGGCAGTTGAACCCTATGCCAGAAGCAGAAATGCGTGCAGGGCCTCAGACGAACCATACCGCACCCCCTTGTAGTCACGAAAACTCCCATTTATTAAAAAGCCACCAACCAGCGCGGCCTGCGGTTGTCAAACTTCTGGTATTTTTCCAAATCTCGTGCAACCAAAATCACCCTTTGAGTGCCTAGGTCAATAAATGACATTCTTTTCTGCTGCACAGAACCTGAAGCGGGTGGCTGAGACCTGGATGGATGAATTCGCCGAGTACATTTACCAGCGGCGCCCAGAATACAGGCACCTCTCCACCGGGGACATCTCCGCCCAGAAGGAGCTGCGCAAACAACTCAAGTGCAAGGACTTCAAATGGTTCATGGCGGCAGTGGCCTGGGATGTGCCTAAGTACTACCCTCCGGTGGAGCCCCCACCGGCTGCCTGGGGGGAGGTGAGGAGAGGCTGCATGGAACCTGCGCTTACCTCAGCGCGTCCTTCTCTCCCGGGCTCAGGTGGTGGGAGGGACTGCCGAAACCTCAGCTCCTCTGCCCTTCGGCCAAGTAAGATTAGCTTAAATCATCTCCGATAAATCAATGTCCAACTGTTGATTTTTTTAGAAATTGCCAGGGAGAAGCATTCAGCCCTCAGCCTTGAGAGTCCCACCCAGAACCCTTGGCCGCTATTGACTTCCCAAATGGATTTTTTTTAATACACCTAGAAAATATTTTTATTTGAGATTAGTGACATTGCCATAAGAGCTTGCAGAGAATGCAAATAGCTGTCATGCTACCGTGTCAATAAGTGTGACCTGATCTCCATGATAAGAATCCTTCCCCGTCCTCCATGCATAGCCTTGTTGCTATTGGTGTGTGCAAGGATGAGGTGATGGAGCGGCTTGACTATTTTCTTAGCCGGAGGTGCTATGCAGAATCACGAAGAAATGCATTTCCATAAATACCCACAGCTGTGGCACATGCAGGAGCCACATCGGTTGCTTCAATAAGCACTAACCTTTCCACCTGGGAATGCTTCTTTTTGATTTCACTTCGTGATGTAAAATGGAAAGAACTGAACAGCCCCAGTTTCCAAATTTAAAATATCTATCTTTTGGCATAGAAAGGACTATTGTGCTGGGTGTAGTTCCGTTCAATCCCATTACTATAGCCTTCTCCTCATAGAAAAGTATATGCTAAAGCAAGGACTAAAATTGGATAGGGTGGATTTATCCTAGCAATTGAATCTGCTTTTAGCAGGAGGCTATGAGGGGGAAATTGCAGGCTGGGCGGGATGCTAGTGCCGTCCTCGTTCTCAAGGTTTTCAGAAGCCAGGGGGTGACTATAGTGCTTTGTGGGGGAGCCTTTTCATCATTATCCTTGGTCTTGTTGTGTGGGGGAGAACATGCATTAGCCTGGTCGCTGTCTGGTCTGTGGCTTGGCAGAGCTCTGAATACAGGTTGCCCCAGGGCGTGGCAGGAGTGGCCAGGAGTGAGCAGTGTTCTTGGGTGGGCAGTCCCAGCACCCCCTGGAAAATGTTTCATGTGCACTGCTTGTTGTGCCAAGAGGGTCCAAAAAGATGTCATTCTCTACCTGTGCCTGGGATACCCGAGGAACGAAGGAGAGAGTCAAGGTCAAGAACACCACTGCATGGTCCGTTGCCGAATGTTTTTGAATGTGCGCGTGGTCCTAATACTGGCTGCTCAAGCCTGTTAGGGATCTGATCTGATACTTTGCGTCTTGAACATTTCATTAAAGCCTCCCTGGAATATTAGTCATATTAGTCTGCTCCTATTCGTTTTAGCTATCTACCATGGACTTCATTTCTAGCGGTGGAAATGTAAAGTAGACCCCAAGAAGAGCTTTCTTAGTCTAATGCATGGTAGGACACAGGAATTTGTTGCTCAATAAGCAGGGAAGTGCCTTTGTAAGGTGTTTTTGGTTCAGGTTATATCTGCCTCCTATGGTAATTTAAATGCAGTCTTGCCTTAGTGACTCAGAAATATTCTCAAAGACCTCGCAGCATCACTGTGTGATCCACAGCCAGTTAAAATCTCATCAAGCTTTTCTCCATTTTCTGTGGAAACATATATTTTGGTTCCTACGTCGTTACTACTTCAGCTGCAACAGGTCACATTTTCCCTTCGAACCTGACTAAACCATAACCTGTATTTATAAAGCACCTGGCTTGGAGACAGACTCAAAGCTTCTTCCACTGATGTTCTAAAAAAGATACGACTTCCCCCAGAAAAATCAGAATAATCATCTGAAGGCCAGGTAGGCTACGGCAGAAGGTTGTTATTCATTACCTTTGACTGCCTTACACGTTTATGTAGCTTGCCTGGCCCGTGGGAACACTTGCATTCATCATTTCTGGTCTACACAATTAGGCATTGAGAAGATCAGATTTTTTTTTTTTTAACACGATGGCAAATTTCTTTCCCCAAAGCTTCAGCACATCAAACAAAAAAAGGTCATATTTAGGTTTTGGGAAAGAGGAAAATGGGGCTACAGTTCAAGGGCTAGTTGCATTCAGTTGCATTTGTTCAATGAAGATGTGGTCTACAGAAAGAATAAAAACCTGGAAGATTGGAGGAAGGCAAAAAGAAAGGAAACCAACAAGTGACGAGGGTTTGGACTGGTAAATAGTTTCGAAAAATACCTACTTTCTAAGCAGAGTAGATCCCTGAGAGTAAGAAATAGTGCCTGTACATTTAATGCGGGAGGAAAGAGAAGTGTTGAAATGCAGCTTGATCTAAAGGAAATCATGAAAAAGAGAACTATTTCTAACTATCTATGAGGTAATAGCAACCTACTTCTTAACAGTGGATAAAAATGGCTAAATGTGCAGAATATATCTATGGATCATTTTACCTCTGAAAATAGCTCTTTTGAAGTGATCACTCTTGTGTTTTTCTTTTCCCTTTGAGGGGCCTTTTTTTAAAATATTTTTTTTTATTTTGGAATAATTTTAAATTTGCAGAAGAGTTGCAAAGGTGGTACCCAAAGTTCACAGATAGTCTTCACCCCAGTTCTTCCAGTGTTAACCTCTGAATGTTTGCCACATTAACCACAGCGCGTTTAAACTAAGTAATTAACATCAGTACAATACTATTAACTAAACTACAGACTTTATCCAGATTTCACCAGTTTTACTCACTCATGTCCCTTTTCTGTTCCAGGATCCAATCCAGTATATGAGAGGGTTGTTTAATTTCCTATAAACTTTAAATTAATTGTTAGAATGGGCAAAGCTCCTGAACAAACGTAAAAGGTCAATGGCTGTTTTTGTAAGACAGTGAAAAGGGAAATGCAGCCCGTGTGGCTCTTTGAAAGCAGTTCTAGAAAAGAACCACAAACCTCCAGCAACGTAAACACAAGAATCCTTTATGGGAGATCTGTGCCAAAAGCAGGGTAACTGGCTGTTTTATGCACTTGTACTTGGAACGGTTCCCACCTGCTGTTCTGTGTCAGCCTGATTCTGGGTAAACAAGGAAGTGCTTAGGCAATTTTTGGCGCTGGTTGTTAGAACCCACCTTGTAAAGGATAAGTTACAGGCCATAAATAGCCACTAAACTGCTACTCATTTCCCTGACAAGTTCGGATGGATTATTGCATTTGTCTCCTAACTCGTCTCTCTGCTTCTGCCCTCCCTCCCTTCAGCTTATTCTCACTATATTACAGTTATATAATGCATTTATTTATCATGTTTCTCAGCTATGTCCCACACTAGAAAGGAAGAGTCATGACACAGAGATTTTGTTGAATTGTGGAGTTACTCATGCTCTTCAGCAGCTAAAAAAAGTGTTTGGCATATAGTACGTGTGCCATACATATTCACCAAAGGAATGAATGATGAATGAATGGAGGATTTGGGCTCCCCGTTGTTCCCCTTGTCGCTCATTGCTCTGCCCTGAGCCTCCAGAGAGCACACTACGCTCTTACTCCGCTCCACCACACAGAAGAGTCTCCGTGCCCTCCCTTGTTGGCCACACATCATCTGCCACTTTGGAAAGCTCGGCCAGGAAGAGTTTGAGGTGGGAATCTCAGGTAACCGATCGTGATGGACTCTCAGGTCTATGGTCCACATGATAGTCAAGCAAGATATTCAGTATTCTCTTCTGATACCCTCCGGAGAAGAGGGGAAAAATCCAAAAGTGAGAATCCTCTGTTCTGGCAATTTCCAAACTCTCCCTGCCAGCTTCCTACTTAAAGGCAAGAAGAGATTAAAGTCACATGTGATAGAGAAGTGCTTTCCAGAGAAGAAGTCACTGCCTCCTGCCGGTGGTGGACACTGGGTGGATCAGCCTCTGGGAGTGGGTAGAATGGGTGGGGAACAGTGGGTGGCATGGGGCCCAGGAGAAAGAAATAGGATTTTGAGCCATGTACTGAGTCGAATATCCCTTTGTGCAATTCAAGTAGAAGCAATGTGCTTTTCCATGCTGCTGTGTTGGATAGGGTAAGAACAAGTTTAAAGTGGAAAACTATTCTTAAACCAAGCACATATGGAGTGCCTTTTTGTGTGTCAAGATACTAAATGAAAGAAGCCGAATTTCCTATTATTTTTCTCCTTCTTACCCCTTCCCCTCCTTCGAATTCATGAATTTGTTAAAGACATTTATAGTATTCCTTTAGTGTCCATAAAGAAGAGTTCTGCAGAATCCCAAACATCATGTGTAAGAGAGAACAAAAGATATAAAATAGACAAACGTGTCTTTCCCTACCGGCGCCAGAGATTCTTTTGAGATGTGTCTGCTTTCTGCCCTCAATGTGCCAATCTTGGCGCATCCGTCTGTCTTCCTGCAGTGGTGCAAAACTTTTTTTAAATCTTTATTTTAAAAATTCATCTCAGCGCCGAACTCCTTCGGCTGCTATTTAAATTCCTTCCTCAAGATTAATGTCACCGGGAATTGTAGAACCTTCACACAGACGGGCGCCCTCGGTAATTCCAGTTCTCCTCCTCTGCTTTGGCTGCACTTGACTTCTTTTAACTTGCTTTCTTCCTCTTTCTTCTAATGTTCTCACGGTGCACTGGCTTTTCAGATTTCCCCCTATCAGCTTACAGGAAAGGAAGTTTGGCCCTAGGCGGTGTGTTATCTGAAAGCCCATCTGAGGATGTGTTGGTGTCTCTTTCAAACCAATAATGCAGAAGTCAAAGCCAGCAATTGATGCACAATGAGGGAGGCTCTCTCGCCTCCCCTTGGCAGAGCTGTGGCCGGTTCCCCCTCCTCCGATCCCCCTCCCCGGCAACCCAGTCTTGCAACTGGGAAAGCTGCAAAGAGAGATTGTCCCACCATTCCCTTGGCAACTGGCCCTGCCATTCAGCTGCTATCTGTCTAAACCAGATCATTAAATTAAGCAGTCATTCAGAGATGATTTGTCATTCTCTGAGTGTATTAGAGTTGACTTGATCTGTCATTTATTTTCCCAGGCAGAGGCAATGCCGGTACACTATGCT